GTAAAGAGCCTCGACTTACTTCGGCTGGCGCGAGAAGTGATATGGGTCGCGCCATCTCGGAGCACTCGACGCCCATGCGCACTACCGGCTTCAACACTACTACTCTCCTACTCCTACCGGTACCCTTACCACCACCACCACCACCACCACCAACATCATCATCACCATGCTCTCTGCCTTTCCTTTCACCGCCCTCCTCCCTCCCCAACATTCCTCACCAGAACGATTTGCTGTCCAAGAAATCGCTTTGCTGTCTGCCCCTTGTCTTTACATGACTTTTTGCGCAATATACTATACCTAGCAGGCATAGGTTACCAGTACCGGCACCGGCACCGTTCTTTGGCCTCACAGCATCCGTTCGAGGTAGGCGGTCAACTCGGGTCCAGACACAGCTGACCCAAACCGTCTTCATGCATACGCCGCCAGACACCGTTTCTTTCTCCGCCTCTACCTGTCTCCTCTCTTCCTCTTCTCGGCCTCACATTCGGCCATTTTGCTGAACAGGGCGCCCCTGCGTCGTTGACCGTGTCTCTCTGCTCGCCCGCTGTGGTGCGTGTGGCTTCCCCTCCCCTCCATCCCCTCCATCCCCTCCATCCCCTCCAGCGGGCTTCAGCCCACCAAGGACATGCCCCGCCATGGCTACACAGCTGGCTCCCAACACAGGCCACGCCTTTGGGATCCCATCTGTCTACCCATCGTTCAATCGCCCAGTTCCGCTTCTGGTCCTGCCTTCGGTGAGCAGTCGCCCTTCTCCAGTTGCGGAAGACGCGCAGTAGGCTGCTGCAACTAGCAGCATCCGGTACTTGCCTCTGCACGAGGTGGACCCGTATCCTGGTCGAGCAAGACGGCGAAGCGGCGCATGCAGCCTCATTTCATCGTCCCTCTATGGCGTCTCCGGCTGCACACTTCCACCTGGACCTGGACCTACAATAGGGACCAAGTCTTCCTCTGTGTCCACACCCTCCAATGCGGCACACGCTATCCTTGGACTGGCAGCTTTCACACTCAACCAACGAGCGGGAGATCTGCCGCCGGCTCTTGCGCCGTTGCTTGCTTTTGAGACGAGCAGGTCTGGCGCACCGGCCCACCATGTAACCTACCCTATTCAGCATGGAACTACTCCAACAATGAGCAGAACCACGGCTAATCACATCTTTTCAGCACAGCTCCTTGTCTATAACTCAGAAGCACATCCTCTATACCTGTACCAGTGAACCATTACGGCTGTCAGGAGAAGCTCGGTCATGGCTCACGTCCAGACGAGCTGATTCAGACCATGCATCTGTCCTCCATGTACCGGGAGCAGAATCCATCCATACCTTCCCTGGACCTGCCTTTTTGATACTGTATACAGCCCACGCCCCCTAAAATTCCACTGGCCTTGTACAATCCGGCCTGTCTCTGTACCCACTGCAGAATTCGTCGACCCAATTTGGTCCTAACCATAATCTCTCACCGTGATTGCTATACACCGTGCCTATCTAAACACATCTGCCTAAGAATGAGCCACTGGGCTCTTTCAAGACTTTGATAAGTATTGGGGCCTGGAGCAGCCCAGGGAGTAGCCCTATCTTTGGACTTGACGCTAAAGATTTACGGATCACTCGCCTGCAGATGTTGTCACACGGGATCGGGATGGACCTGGCGCTCGGTTCCACCGATGCAAGATCGGTACGACCATTCGTCTGTCTATGATCATGGCGCCCGTGTGGCGTCTCCGCAAATGAAGAGATGTGCGTCATTCATCAAGTGCTTCCCTACCCTTCTCTACTAGCTTCATCGGTCATCTTCATGTTTCCAACTTGGTTGTCTTGATTCCACGCGATCCTTGGGAGTGCATCCTTCCTTCGAGATACTAGAAGCTCAGGAAAGGCAGTCGTTAGTCGTGTACCAGTGCTCGTAGGGGGTGGATCGTACCCAGATCCTGATACCTGGTTCGTGGACTACAATCATGGCATCTTGACACTGCCATAGCACGACACGCTGACTCACCCACCATACGGTTTCTGGCGCAACGAGTGCCTGTGGTCACTGATTCGGCCTGGCTTGTTGGCCCAATACTCTTTCTCTGTCTGTTGATCGAGCTTCACCGTCCATTAGCCGAAAGACATGTACTTCAGACCTCCTCTCGAACTCACCCGACATCGCGCCATGGTGCATCATCGATGTGGTCAAGTTGTGAAAATTCTGCGTTTTTCCTCACGCGTCAGACGATGCACAACGTCTGGTCCGCGATTGTCTGCTTCTTCCAACCCCCAACCGGGTAGTCGGACACCATTCTCCACATTCCAAGCATCAATCATTGGCCAATGAAGCAACGGGATCATCTGTCGTGTAGACCGTTTCCTGTCACTTGATCGAAGACCCTTGTCCGGGAGTATCAAGGAACATGTCTCTACTGACCGCACTGATATCGAAGCCCGGTATCTGGGCGAGTAGCTTAGACTAGTGGCCGTGTCGTCAACGCATCAGGGAACCGATTGATACATTCTTCTTCCAGCCTTACAAGCCTCAGCCTAGTATTCGTCGATCAGGGAAACGAGTGGACTGCAGGTGCCTCTATTGCTTGCCGGAAATGGCGCGCCTCGTTCCCGTCTAGCAATTCATCAGTGGTTGTACAATCTAGGCGACTTCAAGTAGAGATGTGGACGCCACTCTGCCTCTTTTTGCTTCCCCACCAGATCTCTCCTAGGTTCTTCTACGATCACGGTCTGCAGATAGCCTTCCCCCTTGACCATCAGGGTACGTAGCTTGCCTGTTGCACAAGCTCACCGCCAGCCTCACCAGCCACCCTTGGAATCCCAGGGAAATCTGAGACCAGAAGGAAAGCCAGGACCTCTGAAGACACCTTTGGCCGATCTACAGTCAGACCCCAAAACGACCTTGCAATTTCCACAAGCCAACAACATGCCTCACTCACACCTACTGGGCCCTCGCCCAAAGGCGCCGTCAACCAGGCCCACCCGTGGCCGAAACGGTTCGAAGATCATGCTCATGGTGGATCGACGTTACAATCGACGATGGTACCTTGCAGGTAGGGTGGCCGGCCGTGCAGTCACAGTTGGCGCTTCGGGCGTCTGCAGACTGTGACTCTCATCTCTACCCTTGAAAAGACAAGGAGCCGCGGATGTCGACGCATGGGCAATCAGTCAACTGTGGGAAAGATGGGCCAATCGGTTTTGTTCCTGTGGTGAGGTATACATAATCCAACCTACGTTCTACGAGAAGGTCACAGGCGCACAGAGTAGGCGGTGAGCCTGTGCCATTACCAGATACCGCCAAACGAGGCTGGTTTTGATCAGAGTTACTTTTACCACAGAAGCCACACCATATTACTAGAGTGAAGGAGATGGGCATCTAGTGGTACTTTTGGACGGTCCTCACTGACGTCCAAACCGATCATCTGTCAATCTTGCGTGACAGTCTTGTGCATGCTAGAGGCGTTTATCACCGGAACTGATCTATGTGTGACTGCATCTCAGTTTCCTGCCCCATAAAGCATGATTCGGTCCCCACTTTCATCCTCTGTCGACTGCATCTTTTGGGATACAGGCTGCAGGATCTTAGATTGCATGAGTGGAGGGAGATGACGCTGTTTCGGGCTTAAGGAACCAATGTTAGGGGTTGATCGTTCTCGATTTCTGTGAGCTTTTTGTTTTGCCAGAGTACGTGCCCAAGCCTCGCTGTTGCCTAGATATCTGGTGGTAAACGTCGAGCTACGAATAGGCATGCAAGTGTATTGCTCGCAAGGATTCGTGAAGGGGTTAGGTAGAGTAAGCTACAAAAGAGTGCGGTTCCCTTTTCTGGGGATACCGGTATCTAGTCCAATTCAGTTTCCGCTTCCAAAGCTAAAGTTAGCCAAACCACTCATGGCCATACGCAATGTTGGAGAGCTATACACGTAGACCCTGTATTAGATGATAAGGTGCTGAAGTGGCTGGTGGCTGCGACTGACGATGAAGTGATTGTTGCAAAAGCTGAAATGGCAACACAAGCATAGGAACGAGACCGTAGGTATGTATATTCATGTCATGACGAAGAGCACGCGTACCCACTGCTATGCACAACACATTGGAGGAACGCAGCGCAACCCGGGGACTGATGGTTGCGTACCAAAGCGCATGTGCCACGATGAAGAGTCGTGACTGGCTGGCAAACGTGTCGAGTCGTGGTCGCGTGCCAATGCAGCAGAATGCGTACTCTACCCAGGTTACCGATGGGATTGATTAGCCAAGGTAGTACCCTAGGTACGTGTCGAGTCTCGAGTCTGATGGCCATGAGGAAAACAGAAGACTCTCTTAGACACTGCCATGTCTGCGCGCTGTCAGCATACTGCTTGCCACTTGGGTCGTTGATTGCAATAGCCGTGTACGCACTCTCTTGATATATATATATGTATATATTTATTTCTCTCTCTCTCCCTCTCTCTGACCGTTTCCTCAAGCGTCTTTTTTTTTTTTTTCTTTTTTTGGTGTTGCTACCTACCAGACTACCTACCGGTAGTAGACGCACCGGTGGTTCCTTCTCGTTTGAGCGGCGGGGTTACCTAGCTAACGTTTACATTGATCGCGAGACAAAGACCCTCCGAGACGCCGAACCGCCGACCATGAGCAGCAGCAATTTTACCAGCAACAGCAGGCCTCACAAAGCCATTTCACAATTCGCTCACTACGAGGACATCACGCTTCTCGGACCGCCCACCATGCGCGGTGCCATCGTATTCAGCGGGTCCTCGCATCCCAAGCTAGTCGAGGGCATGTGCGACCGGCTGGGCATGAAGCCGGGCCATGCGACACTGGGCAAATTCAAGAATGGAGAGACGTCGGTCACCATACGCAAGTATTGCGCTCCCTGGGCCTGCCGCACGATGCTCATGACTTGCAGATACCTCTATCCGTAACAAGGATGTCTTCATTGTGCAGAGCGGCAGCGAGAAGTGGGTGACTCGGCCTGCCTGTTGCGCAATGGCTAATCTTGCAGGATCAACGACTCGGTCATGGAGCTTTTGATCATGATATCTGCCTGCAAAGGTGGTTCGGCCAAATCGGTGACAGGTATAGTCAATGATGACGCCTTCTGAGCCTTGGAGCTGACAGTCTTAGCCGTCATGCCCTACTTCCCGTACTCGCGCCAGTCAAAGAAGAAGCAGCATCGCGGGGCCATCACTGCCCGTATGGTCGCAAACCTCCTCCACATTGCCGGCGTAAACCACGTCATGACCATTGACCTCCACGCCTCGCAGATGCAGGGCTTTTTCAAATGCCCCGTCGATAATCTGGTCGCCGAGCCGCTTCTGGCCCGCTGGATTCGGTCCAACGTGCCTAACTGGAGGGAGGCCGTGGTGGTTAGTAAAAACCCGGGCGGAACCAAACGCGTTACATCCTTGGCAGACGCGCTCAAGCTCAGTTTCGGCATTGTCACAACGGACAGGAGGCGGGCGGGAACAGCTGTGCATTGGAACGAGAGCGCCATGTTTGAGCAGCTCAGGCTAGATGGATCATACGATTCGCCAGCCATCGTCAAGTCTGCAGTAGATCCAGAGGCGGAAGCCACACCCATCAGCAAAATCACAGCCGATCCCAAGCCTGAGAGCAGTAACGCACATTCGCGATTGCGGACACATTCGAATCCGCTACAGCGACGAGCAAATGGCCATCCATTATCCAAGTCAATGCGAGCAAGCTCGATAGTAGAGTCAGAGGTGCCCCTGGAACCGATTCGAACCGATGCGAACAACCAAAAGGAGAATATCGAGGAGAATGCCGGCGAGGAGAGCGCAACAGAGGAGGAATACACAGATGAGGTTTGCAGAGATTACTTCTTCCGGGATCCGGAGACTGACTGTTGCAGCGTGCCAAGAATGTCATTCATGGACGATTAGTTCAAGGTCACATCGTCGACGACGCACATCCCTCTCCCTCCATGTCGGCAACTTCGCATAGCACATGGCGCAATCGGCCACCGTCCGAGGGCGAGGATGACGACGTAGCACCACAGATGATGAACTCGTTCATGTCCACAGCATCCTCAACGCGCAACCGAGACACTGAGCACTCGCACGCGTTGGGGGGAACGTACGACGCTGCGGCCTCATCTGAAGACGAAGAGGAGGACCTTAAAAATCCCGAACTTGAGACCATGGTGACTCTTGTCGGTAATGTCAAGGATCGGCCCGTCTTCATCGTCGACGACATGATGGACAAATCCGCCTCCTGGATCGCTGCAGCCGAAACAGTTGTCAAGCGTGGTGGAGCGACAAAAGTGTACTGCTTCGCTACCCACGGTCTCTTTGGCGGTGACTGTCTCGAGGAGATGAACAATTGCGATGTCATTGATAAGATCATCATCACGAATGCCTTCCCGATCCCCGACTACAAGAGGGCACAGGCGGAGGAGAAGCTAGTCGTCATCAATGTCGACAACCTACTGGCGGAGGCGGTGAGAAGAAATCACCACGGAGAGAGTATGAGCCAGCTCTTCATGCACTACGACTGAGCTGTTATAGTCGAGGACGTCTTTGGGTGGGTGGGTGAGGTTGGCACTGTTACTGATGAAGCAGGAACCTGGCGTTTATGGAATATCTAGCCATCGAGCTAAAACCATCGATGCTATCAATCGTCGGTTGCTATGGAGCCGAGGATGATTGACGACTAAAAGAAAATGATTTACAACAGAATCAAGTGCTGCAGTCGAGTGGGTAACGTCCAAACTGAACCATACCATTTCTCTCACCCCATACTCGTCATCTCTTCATTACTCGCCATTTCTTGCTCATCTCTCTCCTTTCTTCCTTCCTTTCCTTCCTTGGCTTTTGCATCACCGTGATGTTTTACCCCATCTCATCCCAAACTTAGTATACATTCGATCCAATTCGAGAAACACACCAACGATGCAGGCCTCGAGCCTGCAGGAGCCCTGTTCTTGATACGGGTCGCTCTTAACGGAACGTTGGGAGAGTAAAAATCAGTGGTCTCGTCGCCTTTTTTTCTTTTGTCCATGTGGCTTCGTTTGATCCTGCTGCTGAGGCTTTTTGGTCGAAGCGGTGGGGGACTGGGAGCGTGTGGGAGGGGCGGGCTGTACATTTTTTTTTGTTCGTTTGGGAGGGGGAGGGGAATGAAAGTGTGGTGGTTGAAGAAGTGGGACAGTTGAGAGATGAAATGGGGGTGCTGGGTTTGGAATCTTGCGGGTAACAGGAGGGAATGTTGCTGTATAAGTGCTGATTATATGACCAAAAGCTTGCAAGTCCCTCATACTATGGCGAGCCGATTCACAACTTGCAATATATGGCATTCATCAATGATAAGGCATGTCTCATATCACTCCACCAAATGCTACCACATGCCCAATCCCCCAATCCCCTCTCCCACAATCCCGCACTCCCATTCCATCCCACCCCATTCCATCTCTCTACCTCCAAGTACTACTTACAGTCACACTCGCCTGACAACTCGGCACCGTATACGCCCGATTCGGATCGCTCTCCCACGTCGTCGCGCCCCCACTCGCCACCCGCAAAAACTTGTACTGCACCGCACTGCCCGGCACCATATTCAGCGTCACCGTCCACACCGGGTTCGCGGCCGTGTACGACGCCGCCGAGAGCGCGGGACCACTGGCAGCCGCCCAATTGCCCAGCTGCGCCGTGTTTCCGGCAATGCGCACGCTGTCGCCAAAGGAGGTGGTGACGCGGTGGGAAAAGGTGACTGCGACGCTGGTTGGGCATGAGGGTGATCCCGCCGTCGGGGATGTACTTGGTGGTCTGGTAGGTGTAGCGCCAGCGCCCGCCTGGACGAGGACAACGGGCAGGCCGTTGACGACGTTGATGCAGATGTTGCCGTTGCCGTCGGCGGATACGGTACCTTGGACATTACCGAATGCGTCGGTCCAGCGCCCGTTGGCGCGCTGGGTGCTGAAGCAGTGTTGGGCGTTGGATCCGCTGCCCGCGTTGGTCGTGAGCACGACGACGGCGCCGCCTGCTCGGCTCCAGGCGTATGCCGTGCTGCTGACGTACAGGTGGACGTGGTCGTTGCCGGGGAGGCCGCCTGCGGCTCTGCGCGCACCCGTCAGACGCGCGATGGAGCGGTAGAGGTCTGAGTTTGTGTTGAAGTTGCTGCGCCAGAGGTCTTCGCGGTTGGCGGGGTCTGCGCCGCCGGCGTAGCCTTGCTCGGTGCCGTAGTAGAGGACGGGGATACCGCGGGAGAGAATGACAAAGGCGAGGGCGTTTTTGAGCAGGGTTGGGTCGTTGCGTTGGTTGAGCCAGCGGGGGTTGTCGTGGTTGTCGAGGAAGGTGCCGAGGGCGGCGGGGTCCGGGAATGTGTTGCTGACGGTATTGATCATGTCAACGAGGGCCTGGGAGGAGCCGCGTTGCTGGTAGAAGTTGTTCATTGGGTAGTAGGTTGCGTAGTTGAGGAGGCCGGGCATCAGGCTCGCGTAGCCGGCGAGGTAGGTTGGGTTGCCGTCAAAGACCTCGCCGATGGAGTAGACGCCTGCTGCAGAGGCGAAGCCAGGCCAAAAGTCTTTTTGCACGTGCTTGACCGTGTCGATGCGGACACCGTCAAAGTTGTATTCGCGTACGAGCCATGCGATCCAGGTGTTGTAGAGATCCTTGATGTCTTGTCGTTGGGTGTTGACGTCTGGGAGGCCGGCGATCCGGCATACCTCGACACTGGTTTGGTCGTTGTAGTTGATTTCGCAGGTTGGGTGGTAGGTTCCAGGTTCGTTCAGGGGCGCGGGTCTGTTGTTGGCAATGGGGCCTAATCCCATGTGGTTTGCTACTACGTCGACCATGATGTACATTCCCTACATGTCTGATTAGCGTTTGCCTACACTATGATAACATGTCGGGTCAAAGGTACCCTTTGATGTGCAGCATTGACAAGATTCTTGAGGTCAGTGGCGGAGCCATAGTTTGTGTTGATGCCGTAAAGATCCGTGGCCCAGTATCCATGGTATCCGTCTGGGCTGTCTGCGAGCTGTGTCAATACAGCTTCGACTTTGCTCTTCTCAAGAGATTCACATACTAGCGACCACAGGCGTGATCCAGATGGCATCAAATCCCAGGTCTCTGATGTAGTCGAGCTTGGACTGAAGACCCTGGAATGTACCGCCACAATATCTGCCCAAATTACCGCAGGATCCACCACCCGCGTCAGTGCTGCTGCGGGCGATGCGGTCGATAAGGACGAAGTAGATGCTTCGGGACTTCCATGCATTGGTATCTGCGGCATGGACAAGTGCCGTCAGTTGGAGAAGGAAGGTCAGGAGAGTCTGGAAGAACAACATGGTGGCTGAACAGTACCGACCCAGAGTCTTGGAATTCGAGATGATCAGGCTGGGATGACACCTGCCTGGATCGTATCTGATACCGACTTTGCGGCCTTCTTTATAGCTATGGTCCTGCCGTTCCCCACCCCACAAGCCCCCAGAGTTCTGCGGATGGGATGGAAGCTATACTCCCCACTTGACTCAAGTTCGAGCTCGTCGTAAGCTCTTCGACAATGCCCCAAGTCTTGCATCCGATGCTTGACGCCTGCAACCATCGACAAATGTCCGGGATGTTGTGTGGAGACGTGGGCGAGAATCCAAAAGATCCAAGTAGCCCACTTTCCACCGGACCGTCATGAACCCAGTGAGAGGAAAGCTGCCCTGACGATCATTCCCGCCAGGACGATCTCTCGGACCGAAGTGGAAGTCCTAGCCAATCCTCGTGCAATGTGTGGCTGTGGTGTTGTCGATGGTCTGCGCGCGGATAAACTGCCTGAAGAGGCAGCTGCGGGACACTAGACCACAGTCTGGAGTCGGCGCATGGCACTATTGCGATGCTAGAGGGAGCGATATTTCCGAGAGGTGAACTACGGGAAGTCGGGGGGCGAACGGTTTTGTGTCGGGTGAGATTGAAGCGTGGCGCATGACTGGTGACGGGTCAACGGGTTAGTCTGTTAGGTTAGACAGCTGAAGAGTTGGGTTCTGTAGAGTATGTAGAGTATGTAGAGTATGTAGAGTAGGTAGAGTATGTAGAGTAGGTAGAGTATGTAGAGTAGGTAGAGTATGTAGAGTAGGTAGAGTCGGTAGAGTCGGTAGAGTCGGTAGAGTCGGTAGAGTCGGTAGGTAGGTAAGTACTCTAGGTAGGTACTTAGGTAAGCGAGCAAAGAGGGTCAACGTCAGGCCACCAATGAAAGCGCCCTGGAGAATTGAGGTTCCAGCGCGGAGCCCCGCATTCCGGGCAATTTGTACTACAACCTGGTTTCTTCAATTTTAAGGTGCGGCCCGTGTTTGAGTCAAACCGTTTTTCTGCCACCTTACCACTCCTCGTGACTGCGCGATTCATCTTGATTAACCTCGGGTCTGTCTAGCCATCTGGCCACCATGTACGGTACCGGTACGGCAGGTACGGTTCCGACTTTGATCCAATACCTAGCTTGCTTGTTCTCTGCAAAACCACCCTCTGAAACCAGCCACCGGTCGACTTCGCTACTTCACCATGGCATGGATTTCATCTTCCCCACATTGTGGCTGCACAACACACCACCAGCTGTCGGGCATCGCTGTCGCAGGCGAGGTCCCTACACACTGACCTCGGCGACGACGTTTTCTACAGTGTGGAGCCGGCAAGCTAGTACACACACCAGCAGCACGGAAAATACAAGCAGGCAGATTGTTACCCGGCTCATCGAGGACTTCAAACGCTCTCGTGACTAACGCTCCTGGGTTGGCATCGACCGAGGGCAACTCCGACTTGCGCCCAACCACAGCAAAGTGCCCATGGGAAAAGAAGACGCCACAATACTTAGCAGATGAGGCAGGATGGCCTCAAGCCAGAAACTGCAATGCAGGTCGAAAATATGGATGTATATAATCTGTGCATGGCAGGAGGATGTGGGGAACGCAAACCTATAAGTGATCCAGATCCCAGGCTGTCACTCCGAACTATCGGCATATTTTTCGATTCGTTCGCTCAGATTCCCATTCTTTCATCGATAAATCGAATACTCGTTCTTGAAGGCGTTGCTTCGTCTATTCCAAAGTCACCATGCGTGCCTCCTTGGCTAAAGTGTTGGCATATGCTACAACTGTTTCTGCCCATGGATATCTCTCCTCCCCAATGAGCCGTACTGGACTCAATGCCCAGGTATATTGCTCTTTTTTTCTGTCCAATCACGTATCTTTCGGCGCGACTCGTAGGACTTTCTTATAGGCTCAATATCCTGTAGCTCGCAGGACCTCGACAGAAACCTCTCTAACAGTAAATGTTCCCAGGCCGGCGCAGATACCTGCCCAGAATGCACAATCCTTGAACCCGTCCCGGCCTGGCCCGATCTCGACGCAGCCGCTGTAGGTCGTTCAGGACCTTGTGGCTTCAATGCGCGAGTTTCTGTGGACTACAACCAACCCGGTCCGCGTTGGGGATCTCAGCCCGTCATCACTTACAAGGGGGGCGAAACCGTCGATGTACAGTGGTGTGTTGACAACAATGGTGATCACGGAGGCATGTTCAGTTACCGCATCTGCCAAGATCAATCCATCGTTGACAAACTCATCACTCCGGGTTACTTGCCTACAGAGGCCGAAAAAGCAGCAGCTGAAGATTGTTTCAACAAAGGCTTGTTGAAGTGCACAGATGTCGCTGGACAGAGCTGCGGCTTCAATCCTGATTGTCGGCAAGGCCAGCCATGCTGGAGGAATGACTGGTTTACATGTACGCTTGCTCCCTTTCACTCACATCTCTCCTGTCTGCTGCTGACAATTCCCCCAAGGCAAGGGTTTCCAGGACGGCCCCCGATGCAAGGGCGTCGACAACGCTCCTATCAATTCCTGCTACACCTCCATCGCAGGCGGCTACACCGTTTCTTCCAAGATCAAAATCCCAAATTACGTTTCCAACCACACCCTTCTCTCTCTGAAGTGGAACGCCTTCGAAACACCACAGATTTATTCTACCTGTGCTGACATCAAAATTACCGGCCCTGGATCTGGCACCGCACCAAACCCACCTCCAGCATCGAGCAGACCCACCTCTGCCGTGGCCACAGCAACCACAGCAACCTCCACTGCCGCAGCAACTGGTTGCGCGACACCTGTGGCCAGCGTCGCCGTGACCTTTAACTCGAGAACGACTACTTCTGTGGGACAGAATGTGAAGATTGCCGGATCGATTTCCCAGCTGGGAAGCTGGAACACTGGGAATGCGTTTGCTTTGTCTGCGTCGCAGTACACCTCTGCTAACCCGCTTTGGACTGGTACTGTCAACCTGCCTGCCGGCACGAGCTTCGAGTACAAGGTCATCAGGGTGGAAAGCGGTGGTGCTGTTACTTATCAGTCGGGTGCCAATAGGCAGTACACTGTACCCAGAGGATGTGCAGGAACGGCGACGGTACAGGCAGCATGGACTTAGGCACTACCATAACTGAGAGGTTTTGATTTGGTTATCCTGCATGTTTTGGTCAAAGACAAAGACGCTGCTCAAGCGCACATGTACCTAAGCAACGACTGATGATGGCGGCGCAAGATATATCTTGACAAACTTTGACGCATTGCTTTTTGGTTTGCTTACAAGGGATACAGCAATGTACATATAGTAAGACCGAGTCCGTTACCTTGTGCAAACGCGTGGAATACACAGGTCGATACACTTAGGTAGGTAAGTGGAGAGCGCAAATTCCACCGCCAAGGCATCGTATTCGCCAAGCTAAGACCGTCCGCGAATAGGTATAGAAATAGAAATTCTATTGGTACCCATGCATTCGGGCAATGCGCATGCCACCAGCTGTACGACAATATCGAAATATCTAGGATGAACCCTGTGAATCGCTTCACACGAATTTGCTTATGGTTCCTGCGACATTGCTCTATATCCACACACAACTCATCATACTTGATTTGCTGCTGGACCTCTCTTCTAAATGTGTGCTATACGGGTTCCATCATGCCAACGGCAGTCTGCTCCCCGTAACCTGCCTACCCGGCTGATCTCCCAGATCTTCACGCTAAGCTTTCGCACGGTAGGTAGATCGATGAGGTAGATGACAGCAAGTCACTAACCACTACCGGTTCTGGACACGACCACCTAGGTAGCCGTCGCACAATCATTGGCCAACCGCAATGCATCTAGCAATCCTTTCCAATAATTATACATTACACTGCATACTGAGTTGTGAGGCTATAGGAACCTTGTTGCCACCCACCGACCGGGTTGAGAGATTTGTGGATAACAGGGCCACCCATCTGGCTGCGCATTTGAGCAGGGGAGCAGGGCCGATACTTGATGGGCACAGTAAGACGCTGACAATCTCCCCATAGGATTTAAGACCTAATTCTTTTCTCCCTATTCAACCCTCGATCTTTCAACAAAACTTGCACATCCTTTTCGGTTGGAAACAGGCTCTTCAAGTCCCTCAGAGGCCGCGTCCGGGCAAACTTTCTTGAACCTGCAACAGAATCAAAGTAATCGACTCTTGACTCCACCTGGCCACCGCTCGCGCCCTTTTTGTTTTCTCTCGAAGAAAGAAACCGATTCCCAGCCAGCCATGAAGACCACCGTTCTGGCCCTGCTGCTCGCAGCAACTGTCTTTTCTGACACTTTCGCCTGGGCTGCGCCATCAGTCGACGCCGTCGTTCCTAGAAATACCGTGCCGAAGATGAAGAAGGGCCGCTCACATCAGCATCACGAAAAAAAGCCGACGTTCAAAAAGGGGTGCAACTGTCAAAAGCAAATTATACCCAATAAATTGAGCAAGCGTGAGGTGCGTCACCCGCCTGGAGGAAAGACTCGATGTGGACGGAGCGCGATGAATGTGAAAGAGAGAAATATCAGAAGGGGAGAGGCAGCAATAAGGTGGTAGGAGAGGAACCGCGCTAACCATATACGACAGAAATGTATGCGGGAACATATGAATGCCGTGGGCTGTTATAAGGCAAGTAATGGGGGATGCCCGCAGCCTAAGTACACTGTAAGTCAACGCGTCCAGAATCATCTTTAAATCATACTGATCTTTCAAGTGTTGAAAGAAGTCACCGAAGAGGGGCATTCCAAGTCATTGGTAAACCAGTGCTGGGACCAAAAGGGGGTTTGCATGGCCATGCGATGATTGTGACGACATGACTCCACTGGCGAAAAACCAAACATCTAGACCGAAGCGAAAAATCATGGTCGTGCAGAGGAATGGGATGCTGTCGCAACTGTGATTTGGAAACTATACTAATGCTCCCATATGTTACCTGCTTGGAAGCAGATACACTGTCCATGTCATGTGAGGAAAGCCTAGCTGTGCTTCAACATCGCGCGGTAACTTTATTAATCGCCATGTATCTCGTCGCTCGTGTATTCGCTTTTGCCCCTAAACTGTAATCACGCCGCTTGTATAACCCGCTCAGCTAGTACCCATAGCAACCATCAGATAATTTCGCTCATCTTCCTCTTCTTCCTAGGGCACTGCAACTCATCTTCAGTCGCCCGCTTCAAGACTTCCAGGCTTCGCTTGACGCGCTGACCATCCTTCTTCATCGCTTCGTGATGACGAGGAGCCACATCTTTGTCTGGGCAACCTTCCTCGCCGGGCTCAATCAATGGCCCAATCTCGGCTTCTTTGAGAAGGTCCGGTACCTCGCTCAGCAAAACTCGATAGCGTTCGTTCTTGCGGCACCACTTAATCAAGGAAGTCAGAGGGCCTGCGTCTGGTCCTGCAGGCGGCTGTTGTAGGCCGTGAGCTAGAGCCAAGAGCGGGTAGTCGATCCTGGACCAGGCGTCGTATGTCCACCCTTCTGCTGTGTAGTTGGTGGTCACTTGCTTGCTGTCTGGCACCGCGACTGCACTTGCGCATTCTGCACCACTTTGATCGATTTCTGTGGCTTCGGTGACATCCTCTTGCTTGGCCATCTCCTGTTTCGACTTTCTCGTGGCGCTGTAGACTGTGGAAGTCTTCAAGGCGGCCTCTCCCTCTAGAGCGCGTGTCATGTTGATGATGTTCCTAATGACCGAAGACGAAGCTCCAGCTCGGGCAAGCCGCTCTGCCGCATGGCCCCAATAATAGTGCTGCGGAAAGTAACTGAGGAGCTCCATCAGTGTGAACTCGGTGTCTGCAAGCAGAGTAATGTCCACATTCATCGGCGTCGCCACACTCTTGTAAGGACAGAATTCGTTATTCTTACTCGACAGCTTGGCATCCTGGTTCTGAATCACAGGGTTGGCTTCGTCTGGGTCGGCAATCTTTGCACCTATCATGAGCTCCGGGATGGGAGACTTGGTTTTGCGATTGGAACGGGATGCGCCATTTCGAGGTCGCTTGGCTGAGATGGGAATAAAGTCGGCGTCGGGCTGCTGCTCTTTACCACTGAGCCAACGCCAAGCATCCTCCAAGTCAAGTATCAGATTCGGACAGTCGCGAGCTTCTCGCCATGGTGACACGATGACAAACGTGGAAACGTTGTGGTTCTGGAAGACCGCTCCCCTGCTGAAGACAGGTACTTCTGACGCTGAAGATGTGACTAGGCCACTGCTCTTATGCTCAGCCCAAGGCAAGGTCCAGTCGACACCCTCCCAGTTGTACACTTCATCGACCGAGCCATCAGCGAGACTTGTCATATCGGGGAGCACACTTGTCTCAGGGTGAAGCTCTCCGCCAGGTACATACTTCTGCAACCCACCTTGCTGTAGCTCCTCGCACGTCAGTGGAAGCGGACCCACGGGTGTCAGCTTGAAAGCCTGGTGGTACGGATCAAACACCACGGGCAGGAGACCAGACCAAGTAACCTGGCGCCAACCCATGGGCAAAACGAGCTTGGGCACTTTTGAGAAATCCGGCAAGCCATCAATAACCGGCACGAAGGGTTGGCAGAAGATCAAACGCGGATCCAACGTCGGGTACGGGTAGGAGGGATGAGTGCTCCCACCTGGTGGATACTTCAATTCCCAATCAGTTGTTCTCAGAACAGGAAGACCTTCAAAGGGGATCGGGTCTGCGTTTGCAGGTGTTACGGTCAATTCGAAAGGCACAGATACTTCGCAAGTGGCCGAAGTAGGAGCAGCCTTTGCCTTTGGTTTCGTCGCTTTGCGAGGGTCTGCTGGCGGCGTGGGTGAAAGGTCTAGAGAGTTGAAGTCAGTTGTAGGACGCTTGAAGTCACAAAGGGGACATACTGTAGGAGCTGACCTGCGTGCGCACTCGCGTACTACGGCGTACAGTAGCGGAATGTGAAAATTCATCGAGTTCTCGCCCGAGTTGGTGATCGTGGTTCAGGGTAGTGACAGCGGAGCTGGACTCGCGCGCAGACATGGTGACATCCTCTTCTTCGGGGTCCTCACTCTCTGCGATTATCTTCCCATGCTCATAGCTTCTGTGGGCAAGAGAAGCTTGCTCTTGGTTTGCCTCGCCTCTTCCCAATGAGTGTTTTAATGTTTCAGGCAATCCGTCGCTGAAGCCTGGCGTATTGGGTGACGGGAGACCGTACCACACGTTTGCTGTAGGTCTTGGAGGCGGGGTGGATAGACGTGTGAAGCGATTTGATATCTTGTCGGTGTTGCTACTCGAGCCCAGGGCTGGAGCGCTATTCGGGGAGTTTTCTATGCCTGCAGTTTGCTCGTCAGCCAATGTCGATTAACATACCACGTTGAGGAAGTACCTACTTGAGCTCATATATGAGTCCATCATAGGCGATGGGGTCCTCCAAGAACCTCCCATTTGCTGGAAATATCGTTGCTGGGGGCCTGTCTTTTGTCTTGGTCGGTATTGTAGCTATTGGAGGACTCGTTCTCAACGAGGGGGTCTTATAGTCTCCTCCATGGCTCTAAGGACCGGTGATAGTGAGTGACTGAGTGAATGAGTTATTGAGTGAGAGAGAGTGAGTGAGTGGTTCTCTGGTTGTGTCTCTGTACTGATCAAAGGTCAGGTGCTGTCTTGTGACAAAACCGCCTTCACCTTCACTTTTGGATACAGCAGTTGTCGCATAGTGGCGTACAGTGCTGGCACACAATCTAGGTGATGTCGAACAAGTAAATTTTGTTTATTTGTTTTATTGTAGGCCAAATTTCATATTCGCGGTACAAGCAATATTTTCATGATGTGATTTCTGACTGGGACGGTGCCTGCCTGAAAGCATTGCGCAACCTATCGCGCGCAATACCAATAATATTATCAATGTTGAGGTTTTATGGTATCAATCCGGTATTAATTTCCATGTGACTTCATACCTTGCGGCAATCCTACTTTACTTCTTTACACTTCCATCGGGGAAGAGAGTGGCCTAAGTAGTGAGAATAGCTGGCCCCTCTCCGTCAAAGAATTCCTCGTCTAAAAGACCGAGCATAACTTGTTGGCCGACCCACTGCTCCTCAACTGCAGGCCTTATCCTCTCCGGTGGCAAGACGAAGCCAAAGTCACCATAGTCAGGGAGCTCGATTGTGAAGGAGAACTCAGCACGACCAGTGGTGTAGATGTGATCCACGGATGTACCAGTCGTAGGATAAAGCGTGGCGCCTGATGGACCAAAGGTATATGTCGTCGCGTTCTTGGACTGGGCGCGAATCTCCTCGCTCACCAACGCGGCAGTTCTAGTCCACTTGCCCAATTCAGGAGCATAAAGGTTCTCCCGGTCCCCATATGGGAAAAGCAAGAGTTGCGAATAAGAATGCCAGTCGATATATAGCTTGATACCCTGAGTATCACGGAGCCTGCGCACAGTGTCGTCGAGGCCCCGGTTTTCAGGTGAGTCGCGGGGCGCTTCTCCACGGTAGGTCTGGGAGCATGGGTCAGGTGAAGCTCCACGTGGATCAGAGTCCCAGTTTGTTTCCCAGTTGCGGTTGATATCCCGTCCGAAACAGGTCTGATTCGCGGCGTTGGCAGGTGGAGGCTGGCGATTCTTCCGCCAGAGACGGTCATTTGTCTGGGTAAACACGAAGCCTTCAATCGGTTAGCGGTTGGTGAGTTTGCTTAGTAGAATCCATACCATCAGGATTGACAAATGGGAATATGTAGAAGTCATATTTGTTCAAGAAACTTTGGGTGATATTGTCTCCAGACTGATACCCTTTGATGAGCTGTTGAGTTATGTACTCGACGGTCTGTTGCACATGTCAATCACTTGTATCCACTTTATACAACACTAGATTTACATACCGGAGCCGAAATCCACTCGCGAGCATGCACTGTACCATGATAAAGCACAGCTGGCTTTCCAGGTCCGTCTGCACCCCAAAGATGGACTCCAAAAAGGTCTCGACCTTCAAAAGAAGTGCCAGTCGTGGTCCAGTTGGAATTATCAGGGAACGATGCTTGCAGCTCACGCCACCATTCTACATGCTAAATAACTCCAGTCAGCCGATTTTCCAACATAAGGGTATTGATCATGTCGTACGTCGTCGTACGGGTGATAGCTGTCAAACCAAGCATCATCACTACCATTCGTCTGCCTCTTCCAAGATCTCTTGACTTGAACCTCTTTCTCCATCGATTCACCCAGATTAACATGCAATGCGCGAGAGTCAAGTCCCAGGGCATTGAAAGCAGCAACGTCGTCACGGGAGATCAGCACATCCCAATGACCAGCACTCTGCTCCCAAGTATCATGAGCAACGGTTGCAAGTGCTCGCTTTACTGAAGCCAGTTTTCCAATGGTCCTAATGCGGTGAACCTGGTAGCCATCATAAGATGTGGCCGGTGGGCTACGAATGGTCGCACACGCGGCGAGTGAGATCCACGCCAAACCGAAGACGAACCTCATAATGTCCACAAAGATAGAGGGAATTCTGAAGTAAGAATTGAGAAAACCGTGAATCCAGCGACATGGTCGGCTATTTATACGCTGGCCTTCAGCCTTTCCGCACGCCAACTCGAATTCATGAGCTGTCCGAGTTTCAACGTGCACGATTCGTTCGGATCGATGACGACCAATGTTCACTGGCAAACATGCGTGAGGGGACACGGAGGATAGTGACGAGATAGTCGGATAAACGTGCGCAAGATCCGTCCCATGAGGCGTACCAGGAAAATGTACTTTCGACCTGCCAGTTCTGCACTAGGCTGTCCATGGCGTTTTCTGGGCAAGCGGGTTGAACGTCACCTTGCAGATAAATCTACGCGGAATATTTCCCTTGTTTGATGACATTATTATGAGATGGAAGGTTACTTCTTTTGAGTGCGTTCCTGTATGGCGTACAATTGAGTGAGACATACTGGGTGTAAAGGTGTCGGCGTGTGGGCGTCGTGTCGTAGTGTGTATGCATTGGCTTGTAGCATCAGGGGAGACAAGAAAGCAGCCCGCAGACGCATTTAGACTAATCAGTAGCATGTCAACACCAGAAAGACCGGAAATAATGACGCAAGTTGAAGAGACGGGACCGTAGTGAGCGCATGATGGCCTTGGCGTTACCCGTTCAGTCTTGTGTGCACATCGTGTCCCGCCTCCGGGTTTCATCACCGCCTTCGCAGAATCGACTTCTATACGCGAATAAACAGCCATAACGTAATCCTCACAAATTAGCTGAAATAGCGTTCATCTTATCAAGCAGCGCTGCCACCATCGTTTACCCTAGCCTAACCCCTTCATCTTTCACGCGAGTTATGGCTCAATTATAAGCTTACCATAGGTATGGGCTTAGATTTCGCTCAGATCCTCATCTTGAATACTTTTATTTCAGTGTTCAAAGCAGTTACAAGTAATGGCCAACTTGAGTCTTCTTTCATCGAACTTGTCAACCAAGCCAGTTTGCAGTGCGAGCTTAGCCAGTGTAGAGATAGGAAACAGCATAGGTGAGGAGTGGATCGACTACGAAATAATGTCTTTGACACAGCAAGTAGAAAATTCGGTGGATTTCATGAACATGCAAGACACCAAGAATATGCTCATTCGCTATATCAGCGGCCTGCTATCCTCTCTTTGGCGGGAGAAAGAGCTTTCCTTTCATATCTTATATTAGGACGAACAGTTACGAAGGTATACTACACAACCACATCTCCAATCGGCGTCAGTTCGAGTCCCAGAGGCGATTTGTTTTCACTATATCCCAATAGGGAACAATGAAATCTCATTGCTGTCAAAGAATGTTTCTTTGTTCCCTTATTATCTCGTTCGAAGCCCTTCAGCTATGAGCATTGTACAAATCGTTCTTTATGTTTCTACAACGCCATTCAGATACGCACATTGCTCAAACAATGTCAAGTCAATTACTTATCCAACTTCAAATGCACACGAATACGGCCAGGTTCATTCCCGACATCAACAACGCACTTCAGATTCAAATTGATCCAAGCGTACACCAAGAAGCAACACAGGATCCGCGTAGCCATACCATTCGCTTTTTACAACTGACTTAGATATTGAAATACGGTACGAAACACAAGTAATATCCTCCATACTCGCGATCATGAACTCCCCTACGCATTCAACTCACGAATCGGAGCGCCTCTCGTGGAAAGAACTTCCAGACATCCTAGAAATTGCGCGAGAACGGGCCAGTATTATTTACCATGACCGCCCGCTGTTGTGTCAAGCTTTGCAGGAGTCATATGGCAACGCTCTTCAGGCCTGTAATGACGAGCTGGAAAGAATCCTCCACCAACAGTTGGAGGCAGAGTGGTGGATTACGGATGATTATAACCAAAATCGTGCTATCTCTGCTGCTTGGCAAATAACGGCTGATGAGGCTGCACTTGAACCTGTTCCAGATGTTTTGGACTCCTTACTTCTTCGCAGTCAGGTAGCACCCTATCGCGCGGATTACTCGCATCCACCGCTCTCGCAAGGCCCACCTTCTCCCCCCAGCCCTGTAGATACTGGCGCTACAAATACGGCAAATGCGCCACCAAACAAAGTAAAGAAGACGAAGAAAGGCGAGAAAGAACGTACCGGCGGTGAGGGTTACGACAAGCTTGCAGGAGCACCTTCTATGTCACTTCCGTTCCCGGATGGGAACATTACTCTAGCTGAGATATGTGCTTTCTTACCACAATCAATCAAGTCTTGGGATATTATTGACCGTTTGATCTGGAACGGTGTCACGACGGTTACATTGGTAACAATGATAAATAAATTTCGAGACATGCCCCGTGGCAATATCGAGAATAGCGCCATATACCGCATGATGAAGGGCCAAGCCGGCCATCGGGCTCGACAAGAACCTCAATATAAAGGTTGGACTGTCGGTGCCCACCAAAATATTCCGAAACCACCTGGATATGACCCAGGGAGCGTAAGTGTTACTAACTTCCGACTGCCTCATGTTACTAGAGGTAAGAATACCGCGCCAGATGTGCTCTTCCGCGACCTCGCAAATGGGGTTAAGATCTGGCCATCGGAATTCGATGCTCTAGACCTTACACGTTGTGTCCACTACTGTGTGGATCATCCAGAGGAGGACTGGTTTTACCCATCTGATTTTGGGAGACTGCTGGCCGGACTCCCTCAATATTCTGAAAATGAGAGAGATCCTCCCGGTCCCGCTGTGGTATACTATGAACATACAGACGCAGCTAGTGTTGAGCGCCATACTTCTTCAGCGGCTCTTAAGAATGCCAAAGATACTTATAAACGAAAGCGCGATAACCGTGGTCGACTTTTACGAAAGAGCAATGCACTTTCCAAGGTGGACGAGGAATCGTCAAAATCAGAGCATTCCTATGACTCGGGGGAAGATAATGACGACCAAAATTCAAAGGCCAAGTCGAAGTCTACGAAGAGCAAGCAGATTTCTGGCAAAACGCTCAATGAGGGAGATCAACCAGCCATCAAGCGCCGAAAGCCTTCAACTAAAGCACGAGTTAACCGTAAAATGGCGGCTAAAGCTCCTAAGAAGCGTTCCCTTCCAAAGACTGGGCGTCCCCGTCACCAACGCGAGATCAGATTGGAGGATCTTGAATCCGAATCCGAACCAGAAGCGGAGCCAGAAGTCGCTCGTTCTCCTATGAAACGGAAGGCGGCATCGCAAGAGCACAACTCGGATAATGACTCGGACAACTACCAGGGGCCGAAGCGTCAGAAGAAGGGTAAGGACGCAGTTGTTCGGAAGTCTCGCCGGACAAAGCGCTTTGGAGGTTCTTACGACGTCGACGCTGCTCTGCAGACGGAAGAGGAGTGACTTCCATAGCAGCTGTATAAGGAGATGGAGTGTTGTCAGAAATCGATAATTATGCAATTCACGACGAGTAGGTACTTGTTGCAGTTAAAGTATACTTGGAGAAGGTAAGGCCCTGGAGTAGGGGATAGATACGTCTTACACAACTGAATAAATCCCTGATTACATTTATCCTGGTACCCTTTACATAATCTCTACCTTTTGATAGCAATAACCCGAGCGCCATGAGAATATTAGATGACTTACCATTTGCTTACTATCATTTACGATAGAAGAGCTTAACATGTTTTTCTATATCGCGTTCTTCCGTTGTGCGAAACCAGTTATGCTAATTTATTTAACTAGACTTCCAAAGATATGAGGCACAGTCATGTGCCATTGCTCCTGGGGCGGTTGTGTCAGGTCGACTTTACTCCATTCCCCAGCTTCGCGCAACATCCTCTCCGTGTCGCGGCACAACTGACAGCCACCAAGCACATGTGGCCAAATAAGGTTGACGAATCCTATGCTTATGTTAGCTCCTGCCATATTGTCGTTGGACTCAGCCGGCAAACTCACTCTGATACAGCTGCATGGGCCAGTAACCCTTTACAATCACGTGCTCATACAAGTACCATTGTCCTCCGGGCTTCAAATAACTGTAGAGTTCCTTGATGTTCTTTTCCGGCTCGGGGATACTGCACAAGCATAGCAATGAAACGATCGCGTCCACACTGCCCTTCTCTACAATCGTCTCTTTCGCAATATTCTCAATACCCACGGGCAAAATCTCATATACACCATCAAGTCCTGCATCTTCCGCACGCTGTCTCAGGCTAGCATGTGCATTCGTGTTTGGTTCGATTCCATAGACTTTGGTAATGGCCCTTTCAGCACGGCCCCGCTTCTTCAAAGTCCCATTCGTCTCTTGGATGGGTACTTCTGTTTTCGCATAGAGATCGATCCAGTAGCCAAGTCCAGGCCCGATATCCAGCACGACACCGTTGATCGGTTCTCCAACGACTTCATCCACGACTTGGCCTCCTGTGACGCGGCCTTCCAGTAATGCGGTCATGCGTGGGCCGTTTGATTCGCGGATGCGGGGTCCAGCCCACGACCAAAATTCAGTAAACCACGCATTTTGGAGATGCCGCCATGTGAAGATTGAAGAGAGGCCGACGGTATTGTAAAGTCGAGAGACTGTTGCCGGCAGATAAGAAAGAGCTGCCCCCATGAATTGCCAGGGCTCGAGGAGCGCTGTCAAAGTTTCGGTGGTCGACATTGCCACTGTCGCGCTTTGGTAGGGTCTTGCTGGATTGTATGAATCTATGTTCTGGTGCAAATGATAGTTGAAGTCAAAATTGAATTCGGTTGCACCTTACTGTCCACAACGTAGCCGATGGATCCGATTACCTAACAGCCATATGCGTCGGCCGCTAGTGGCCGTCTGTTGACTAATCACTCCCATTGTGTATGAGACTTTACCTTTGGCGGACATATCGTGGAATTTGGGTCTGTTTCGGTGTTGGTCTACAAAGAGTACGGTATAGCGTACTTGAAAACGTCGAGATCAAATTCGATTGTGCGACACGCTTGATCGTGAAAACGACTCAATAAATGTCGCCAGCTGTCATGCATCACCTCAACTCAGCGGCGAGGAGCGAAAATTAGAGTCTTCGTTAATTATCCATTTGTCAACGCATCGTTGCATTGCAACTCCCACCCATTCTCGTCTATTCCTGTCGGTAGGCCTTCTGAAGTATTGTTGTGACACCTGTACCGGTAAAGGTCTTAATGTGCGTCATGTATACCATCTATTCAAGAGAATTGAGCTGGTTTCTGTTCAATCGACGTTAAGGATTTCCAACAATTCGGGCAGGCATCATAATTCGGCTTCTGGATGCCAGAAATGCTATGTGAATTGCACCATGTTATTGTGCTAAAAACTAATTATGTGCATTACTCGGCGCGGCATGCACAAGCCGAACTCCAGCATTGTGTATTTCATTCACCTAATGACCGTCTGGAACCTCATCTTTTGAGTCGGCAGCTGCATATGGATCAACCTCGTAATTCTTGAATGCTCTGGCAGGAACACGGTTTGCAAATAGCATATCCAACTCTTCATACGTTCTCCCTTTGGTCTCAGGCAGACGGAAATATGTCCATACAAAGAAGAAGGATGCGGCTCCGCCCCAGAAGAAACCTGTCTTGCCTTTCCAGTTTCCTGCAGTGGGGTTCAGCATGTAGGGATTGACGACGTTACAAATGATTTGCGCGATATAGTAGGCGATACGCGCAACACAGACACTCTTGCTGCGGAGGCGAGTGGAAGATACCTCGCCAACAATGGCGTAACATATGGGGCCAACCGTTGTATAGTAGACAAACAGCCAGCCAATCATCATGCCAGCTTGTGCATAATTACCAGCTGGGGAATCACCAGCACCAACGCTGATGAATCCTACGATGAGAAGAATGCTCGCGAGGCCAGCGAGTCCCCAGAGGTACAGCCTGCGACGGCCAACATACGTCATAATCACCCAGGACAGTATGGTTCCTATTGAGGCTATTCCGAGTCCTCCAACAGACATTTTGAACGATATTGTGTTGGGCACCCCAGCTTGAACGAAGAAATAAGTTGGTGAGCCGCCCATGGCAGAGCCACAGAAGGGCTGAGCAGCGAAGGCCATGCATGCAATTTCTGTGCGACGCAGATCGATGCCCTTGAAACACTGTATGTATGAGGTGTCTTCTTCAAGGGATTTCTCTAATTCGTTCGTGTGGACCATCATAGCTACTTTCTGTTTAGCTAGATGTTGTTGCGAAGGCGTAGATAGACGATTGACCATCTTCTCGGCCAAGACGAGCTTCCCACAGCGAACGTAATGCCATGGGGATTCCGGCGCCATGTAAAGAACGGCGAAAAGAGGAACGGGCCAAGCCCATTGGATGGCAAAGGGTATCCGGTATGCCCATTGGGTAGCGTTGTCAGAAAAGCCGGACTGCACGCCAGCGGAGATCAATTGTCCTAAAGCCCAGCAAAGATTGACATAGACTGTAAGATATCCTCTGAGTGCCGTCGGACACACCTCGCTGGCGTATGCAGGCGCCATGGTAGCAAAGACACCCCATGGAATACCGCAAAGGAATTGACCAACAAGTAAGACTGGAGCATTCGGTGCGAAGAAGGATATGAAGATGAATGCGCAGATAGCGACAAGCGAAGTCATGAGGACGGGTCGATAACCATATCGATTGACGAAATAACCGTTTGCGAAGGCCCCGATGATCGTACCAACGCTCACAGCATTTCCCAAACCATTCTGCCAGGAAGCGGAGACCTGATAGGAATTCGTGTTCTCGTCAAAATCTCCATATTTCCTAGAAAAAGCTGGCTGGGCAAAGAAGGAATTCATCAAGACGATGTCGTATCCTTCCATGATGATGCATGTCGATAAGAGAACTGACCAGATCACGGCCTTTGGGTAGCGGCGAAAAGCTTGGAGAAGCGTCAATTGGTGTTCCTCATCTGCTGCCTCTTTCGCCTGATCGAAGATTTCCCGATGCTCCAACACAGTGGACTTTTCCTCGAGGTCTGGCATGATGCAATCATACAACTACTGCACAACAAGGTAGATGAAAGATGTAAGGACCGACGCCCTGATCGTGCTTCTGTGGAAAAGGGCCCACTATACATATCCTGGTAACAAGAACGAATGATCAGGTTACATGGTATACAAACTTGGTTGCAACCCTGACGTCGACTCCATCGGAACGCGGCTACCCCGTGGGGAAATGGTGGACCCTTGTCTCGTGTCCAGGAAGAGGCTCCGCTCCGATGGGGGGAGGGGGGGGGGGGAAACCGAACGAGGAAGCTCCACCACAGTCGGGCGGGGTGCAGCAACACGAGTGCAATTCCCCGTTAGTTGCCCCAATGATAATGTGCGCCAGTATTCATTGATCAGGTGCCAATAAACACCCATGAAACATGTTGGTTGAGAGCTGCGCGATGAGACTTGGATCTTGGTACCGTAGATGCTTTCGCTGGAGATACAAGAAAAGCGGGCCGATCGAAATAGCAAGGAAACGGGATGGTCATTTGACCGAAGAGTATCTTTGTTCTATTTCCTCACTGACTATAAGCAAAGGTTCATCTTGTGGAACTGCTTGGTTCTACATCAGACCGAACCTGCTCTGTTGCTCGAGAAGTAGAGAGTTCAGCAGTTTCTTGTATGACCGCTCGATCCCCCATGTGCATGCTGAGTCGATGAGAAGCGGTGTGGGCAGATGTTGCTCATCAGATGTACTCTGGGACTTTTTCGCCAATAAGCAAAGGCCTTCCTTGACGATCCGTGCAGGGGCACCCGGATCCTGAATGTTGCCTACATTGGATATGTAGGCTGACATCTTGTGGCCCAAGCGAACATAAGTTTGCACTAGTTCATCGTCTAATGGCCGATCAAGATGAAGGAACGAGGGTTCTGGCGTTTCATCAGATTCGGCTACAACAGCCTGTGATATCTCTGGAAGCTGTGTTGAAAGACAAAATGCCCAGAGCACAAGCGTCGCAGTAATCCCGCTTCCAGGCGAACGACGAAATTCAGTC